AAAATTTACAGAGACTTTGGATTTCCATTCATTCATTGTTGCACTTTTCTCCCCTCCCAACTCTCCCCCCTAGTACACTACCCATTTGGAAAAGTAAAAGAAAAATTCTTTCATTGTTTTACAAACCCTCCCCCAGGTCCTCTCCACCATGTAGCCTTCGCTCTAGACTCCTGTCATGACAAAAATACCTAATCACATATCCCTTTTAAACCGTTTTCTTCCTCATCTGTTTCAATGCAGTATACATTGTTGAACCCATGTACTCTGTTTATTAAATAGAACTACAATCCACCCAGTTGCTTAAGGCACAAACCTTGACATTATCTTTGACCCTCATTTCCTTTTACCTTCAAGCTCTGTCGGATTAGACCAGGTTCTCAGCATCTCTTACCTGGATAATTAATAGCATTTTGACAACTTTCTCAGTTCTACTCTTACCCTTACACAACTTTCACATAGCAGCTGGATTGATCTTTTAAGATTATAGGTGAAATGATACTACACTCCCACATAAAACTCTTTCAAAAGTTTGCTGTTTGATTAAAGCCATCTTTCTTGGTGATTTGCAAGAACGTACCTGTTTTTTCCTTCCACACTGTTTCTGCTTTGGCAGCGTATACTTGTAGCTCTTTTCATTGTTCTCTATTCTCATGCTCATTTCCATTGAATGGAATCTGACTCATAGCTGACCCTCTGGCAGGTTTTTAGAGACTATTCATCACACAAGAGGAGGCGGCCTATCTTTCTCCTAAAGACCCACTGGTGGATTTGAACCTCTTGAGAGACTTGGCCTTCAGGTTAGCAATACAACTCTCTACAGACAAACCACCAAAGCTCCTGTTCTCTTTTACTCCTCTCCTTTTGTGTATGTTCAAGTTAGTACTGACTCATAGCTGACCCTCCAGTGCATTTTTAGAGGCAGTAAATTACACAGAAGGGGATCACCCGCAGAGTAATTGGTAGATTCAAACCCTGTACCCTTGGGATTGCAGCTCTCTCCCACACTTCTAGACAGGTTTTGCCTTGTCTTTGTTTTGACTTTCACAAGTTTTGTTGCACTTCCTTTCCTATCTGTTCCCCTCTGCTCTTTGTTCCTGTAGCCACACTGTTGTCCTTATCCTCAAAAACAGTAAGTATTCTCCTTCCTTAAGACCTTGTCACCTTCTCTCCTCTCTTCTATTGAGTTCTCACACTAGATAATTGCTTGGCTCATTCCCTCATTTTATTCAGGTCTCTTAATTTAAGCTTTCCCAGGCTACAGTGTCATGCTCTTATTTCTTTTTCTGCTCTTGTTTCTTATTATTTGTTAACCATATACTGTTTAGTTATCTGTCTCTTACATTTCAGTGTTAAGCTCTATGTGGTCGGAGACTTTGGTTTATTTCCAGGGACCAGAGCAAGACCTAAGGCATGGTAGATTTTATTTTTTTACCATTTGTAACATTTTATTAGCCAATTATTATTTATAAATTACTATCACAATTAATTTGCTTATAAAGAGGACTGCCAAGCTTTTCTTATTTTATAAGTAGTACCATAGAAGAAGCAGATGACAATGTTCTTAAAGCTTAGGGCCTCACAGAATCTAGGATGCTTAATTTTCTCAGACATGGTAGCATTTCTATCAGCATTTGAAAAATCTTGTATTAGAGGAAGCATTGTGATTGTACTTATGGTAATGCTTATAAATATCTGACTGAGTTCCTACCAAACTCTGCTTATGAAGGCCATGTGCTGGCATGGTGGTCCAAAAGGTAGTCTCAGTATTCACATGTCCTAAATAAAATCTCTGCTTTCATGTTTCTTGAAAATCCATTTCCTTATAAAGTGTGCTTAAAAAAATAATAAAAATACAAGGCAAGTATTTCCCTCTTTTGTTAAAATGAGTTAAAAAAACTATAATAGCTAATTACAGAATTGAATTATTAAAATCCTTCATGGAAGATTTGTTCCTCACTTCCTTGGATACAAAAATAGGTTTGAGTCTCTCTACCAAATACAAGGTTCTTTGAGTTCTTCAGAAGCATATAAGTTAAAATCCTAAAAGATAGAAAGTTTTTTTTTTAACAAAAATATTTGGGATATTTTATACTTAGTATTATTACTTAGCAATCCAGTTTATATTCATACATTTGATTCATTGATAGGCAGAACATTATATGTACACATAGCATCAAAAGAACCTAATAGACAGCAGATATTTTAACCTTGATTAAGAACAAATGATTTATTTTCTTGTATTTTTTTCAAAGAAGATATTCCACCTGTAAATTTAAATTTAGCTGGCCCTTTTCAGTCTTGTTTTCTCCTCAGATTCCTATTTCTTAGTAGCACGCCTGGCTTGTACCTGTGCATACTCTTCTTGGGCTTTCCTAGTGGATGTTTTCTTTCTATTTTCCTTTTGAGTGACAAAGGAGTTTACTGTTTTGTTCCATTCTTCTTATGGCAGAGACTGATCAAAGCCAGGTTGTTCTTCAGATAAAACCTGGTCATTGCTACACTGCTCTTCTGGTAAAGGCTGGTTGGCCTGTTCTTCTGGTAAAGACTGGTGAACTTTTTAATGCTTTCTAGCCTTTCCTCTCCAGCTAAGTAGAGGTGTTTCATGTGACCTGGGATCAATCTGTGAATTGGGATTCCTAAGGAGTTTGAGCCTTTTTTTACTTCCATAGTAACTTCTTGTAACTTTGTTGAATTTTTTTATCTTTGAAGTGTAAAACCTTGTCCTTCATGGATGCTTTCTACAAAGTCTTTTTGGTGATTAGCTCGCCACTGCCTCTGCTTTATATTTTTATACTTCTATTCAATCTGAGACATCCCCAAACTCCATGCAAGATAGCTTGCCACAGGCTGTGCCAGCACCATGGCCACCACCCCCTCAACAGAAAACTGGATTTTAAATCAATATTTGTTTGATAGGTGAGTAAATGAATGAACTTATTAAATATTTTAGAGCAATATAAAGTTTTCTTATATTTCTTAACCTTCTGTTAAATGTGTGTGTGTGTGTGTGTGTTTGTAAGTGTAAATGTGGGCTTGGTTTAAGTAGAGTGTGATTTCATTAATCAAGCTGAAAAATTACTGGATAATAATAAAAATTGAAAGCTCCTCTCTCCAGAATGATTTAATTACCCAAAATCCAGTGGGAATATACAGAAAGATTATACCTCTTACTCCTATTAGTATGATTATTGTAGTGGAATACTAAATTTAATTGCAACTACGGCAAAGTGTGAAATATGAAAGTTTTTCTTTTAAGTCAAGCATGCATAAGTTTTACTCATCAGTCAACACAAAAAATGCTTCCATGTGATGCTTCTAATTTATATATCCATTACTATCATTACATAAACTTTGAAAAGATTCAACAAGTTAAAATTACCATTCTCTTAATTTTTATTTCTCCCCTGTTAGATTGCCTTCACACTCTATTTTTATCCCAGTGAGAAAAGCTCTGTTAGCAGTTACAGACCCTTGAATAGGAATGAGGTTGTCAGGTTGGTTTTGTTTTTTTCCTGTTTTCTCAATATTATTTTACACATTAGGTCTTCTTTCAAATTGCCTCATGTAAGATGTAATGTCTTGCTCAATAAAATATCTGACCCCTTTTTGATCTTTAATATTTGTAAGATAGATGCACAACCAGGAGAGAATAACAGTGAATGAAGCTTCTAAAGATTGAGTCCTTATGTGCATCAAAAACTTTTACCAAATAGTGTTAAAAGAAAGCCTACTGGCTGGGAAATAATTTGGCAGTAGATCTCTTAATGAATGTTTACAGAATAATACTTAGGGCCTCCACAAGAAAAAGACTAATAACCCAGTTACAAAAGATATGGCAAGACTTTTAACAGAGGAAGACATTTGCATGGCCAACAACAGATGAAGAAATGCTCAAAATCACTGGCAATAAGAGAGATGCAAATCAAAACCTTAATGAGATACTATCTCAGTCCAGTAACAGTGGCAAAGTTAATAGGATAGTAAGTAATAAATGTTGGAGAGGATAAGGAGAGATTGGAATTCTAATGCACTGTTGGTGGTATTGTAAAATGATACAAATGATTCAAACCATGCACCTTTGGGTTTGCAGCACAGCTTCTTGCCAGTAGGCCACCAGAGCTCCCTGAGGAAGCTATTATTTGTAAGTTAGTCAGGACACACACACACAGTGCTCACAGACATAGGCAAACGTGTTTCTTCACAAATAAAATAAAATAGATCTTATCCCGTTCCGTGTAAGTCTTTACCTGTTAGTGTTGTTTTGTTACTTGTACTTAAACTGCATCTTTAAGACATTGAATTTTCTTTAAAATTGCAGGTAAATTCTTTTCCATTTAAAAATTATTTTACTTCTTAATATTTAACATGAAATATGAACATTATCTTTCTTAGGGCGACCCATATGTTGCTGTTGCTAGGTGTCACAGAGTTGCCTACGACTCATATAGCCTACCATATTTTTTAAAGAATAAAATTAATTCTGCTGGTCTGTTGTTTAAAAAAAAGCAAAAGAGCTCAATCTTAATTTCAAAATCTGTTCCTCTTTTCCTATTTATCATCTGTAATGATGCTCTGTGAATTCATATTCTGTGAGTAAATTATTGTTTGTTCTTTGAAGCATTAGAACTTGGTGACTGGGTAGGTGTTAGGAACATCTGGTGTGTGCAGCTTGGCAGATGCCATTTGCTATTATGGGGAACACTGGAAGTGAAACCATATTGAAAATCAGTTTAGTTTTGTTAATGTATTTCTGAGGCATCAAAATGGAGCTATTAAAACAGTGTTGTATATAAGGGCAATAGGAGCTAGAAATAGGAATTTCAGAATAACCAGTGTATTTATGGTATTTGAAGACACAAGGATAGAATGAAAATTTCCTAGTGAGAGAGTGAAGAATGAGTAAAAAGCTAAAAATTCCCTAAAAGAAATTGAGAAGTAGCTAGGGAAGCCTGGTGGCTTAGTGCAGAATTTATCAGTCTGCTAACTGAAGGTAAGCAGTTCGAAGGCACCAGTTACTCCATGGGAGAAAGATAAACAGTCTCCTCCTGTAAAGATTTAGAATGTTATAAAATCCAGTAATGTATTTCTCTGACTAAGAAGCAATTTGATGCCAGTGGGGTTTGGTTTGGTTTTTAACTAGAGAGTAATGCCCTGTATATGCAAATAATTGACCTCTTCAACTGCTAACCTAAAGCTTGAAAGTTCAAGTCCACTCAGAGGCACTTTAAGAGAAAGGCTTGATGCTCCTGAAAAATAAGTCATTGGAAACTCTGTGGGACATAGTTTTGTTCACGCACACGTGGGATTGCTGTGATCGGCTTTGACTTAGGAGCAGCTGCTAAGTGCAAGTAGAATTATGAGGAAAACTAGGAACCTGCTTGTCATGAAAACCAGGAAAAGAGAGTGATTCTAATAAAAACAAATGTCAAACAGCTATGAACATATATACACCAGCATGCTTGAGAGATATACTAGTGACATGTTTCTATGTGTCAGTTTTCTCACTTGATAAAGATATCTTCAGATTATACTGAAAAAATAAATTTTCTACTGTTTGGATATTTTACAGGGATATGAAGATTGGTTACGACATAACTCTGATAATGAAGTAAATGGAGCTCCTGTTTATGTTGTCCGAAGTGGTGGCCTTGTAAAAACTAGATCAAAAAATATTCGGGTATGCATCTAGTGAATACTAGAAATAAGCTCCATTGTGGCAGTATAGGACATAATTTTAATATGATGGCATTTTATTTGAAAGCCTGCTTTACTGTTTTAAAATTATATGAGAGGTGACTTGTTCAGAATCTAGTAGAAGTAAATTTGAATATTCCCTTTTAAAATTTGTGTATTCATTTTTTCCCCCAAATTCTTCATAGGTGGGTGATATTGTTCGAATAGCCAAAGATGAAATTTTCCCTGCAGATTTGGTGCTTCTGTCTTCAGATCGACCTGATGGGTCATGCCATGTCACCACTGCTAGTTTGGATGGAGAAACTAACCTGAAGGTTTGTTCATTGACATGTTATGTTCACGTATTGCTCTTGGTGAACAAAATGTCTTTGATTTATGGCAGTATTTCCCTTTGGTTAAGGTGATAAAATTGGGTCTGATAAAGTAGAATTTTTTAAAATTATTTTTTAAAAGAATGAATACTATTTATATTTATTTCCAAGGAGCCCTTGAGGCATAGTGCATTGTGTGTTGTGCTGCTAACCCCAAGGGCAGCAGTTCAGATCCATCCAGTGCTCCAGAGGAAAAAATTGAGTAGTCTCCACCCCCTGTAAAGATTTATAGCTTTGGAACCCAGTAAAGAGGTTGCTATGTGTCAGAAGTACCAGTGGGTTTGATTGGTTTTTGAATATTTCTTTCCAAGAACAACTGGAAGTATTTTTAGGCAAAATAATTTTTCCTACATTGTTTCAGTACTTTTTTGATAAAGAGTAAATTTAAATTTTCTTTGTCTCAGAGTGTAACCGGTGATGAAAATTAATTTATTTTTCATTTAAAAGTAATACGTACTTATTAGGAACTTTGAGTAATAGTGACATACATACAAATTTACTTTGTGGTAAGGAGTTGCATTACCAACACAAAGGCAAGCAATGCAAATGCAGTACTTGCTCCATGGGAGAAAGATGAGCAGTCTCCTCCCATGAGTTTTACAACCTCTGAAAACCTACAGGAAAGTCAACTATGAGTCACTATGACTTGGCAGCATATGAACAGCAGCAGTGTGCATATGGCCTCTATAAACTACTAATCAAGAAGTTCCCTTTGCTTCCTGTTGGCTTTACCTCTTTCCTCTTTTGCTATCTAGTAGATTATTAAGTACAGTGTGTCATGATTTAATCTGTAAAAAATGTTTTGTCTAAGATAGATAGATAGTAAGGTCCCCTTTGTGTTTTAAAATTGCACTATTTAGTCTTTTTTCTTTTTCCTCTAGACACATGTGGCAGTTCCAGAAACAGCAGTATTACAAACCGTTGCCAATTTGGACACTCTTGTTGCTGTAATAGAATGTCAGCAACCAGAAGCTGACCTGTACAGGTATGATGTGAACTATATCATCCTCGGTTCACATTCCTTTTAAGTTCTATCTCAGACATCGTTTAAAAACACATAGACCCATATTGCAATCTTAGCTGATTAAAGACATTAGAGAGGAGAATGGAGTTGCAAGTAAAGGGAGGAAAAAACCCTCTGAAAGTACATAATTCTAAGCAAAAGGTACTAGTAGAGAAATAATACTCTTGTTCATGTGTCCCTTCCATTATATTCTGTTTTGCTGTATACTAGTCTGTTTACTTATTAACTTTAATAATGATAATAGTAGAAGTAAGGTGATTTTTTAAAAATTACTGATAAATAATTTAGGAAAAAAAGACCTTTTAAGCTCCATGAAAGCAAGGGCTTTGTGTGCTCATGGTTCCATCATGGAGATGGTCAGCGAGGCACAGTAAAAGGCAGAATTCGGTTGTTTATAAAGGCACTGAGTCGTAGTCAGCTCATTGACACCTAACAACGTTATATTAGCATGCTGTCTTAAATTTTTAAAAAATTTATGTAGTCATCTTTAAAAATTTGCTAAACTGTTAAAGATTTTATTTCTAGAGAGATCCAGAAAAAGTAACACCTTTTAAACTTATTGTTTAGTAAGGAATGTGAATTAACTTTTCTGTGATTTTGCCAGTTGTTCTGGGCTATGGAATGGGATTTTCACCTAGTAACTGGTGGTAGACCAGCAGTAACAATTGCAGGGACAGAATCATCCTTAGTTCCTTAGCTATCTATTTTTTGTTGTTGCCTTAGAGGAGTCTCTGGTGGTGCCGACATTTAATGTGCGTCACTGCTGACTGGCAGGTTGGAAGTTCAGTTCTCTTGGAGATTCAGGTCTGTCTTGGGGGGGAAAAAGATTGGCCAATTACTTCCAGGTCAGTTCATGAAAACCCTGTGCAGGACAGTTCTGCACTGAACAGGGGCGTCACCAGGAGTTGGAATTAACTCCATGCGCCTCCCCATTACAGCCTTCCCCCCACTTTCCAGATAATCTTACATGTTTTGAGTTCAACTCTTTATAATGAAGGTTACGGTATGCAGTGGTATAAAAATCTTGCATTTTCCATTGAAGTGCCTCTTAGGATTTTTCAGTTAATGGTAAAAAATGTGGAGTGCATTGAACTAGAAGATATATTTAATTGTGAAGAATTAAATACTCTGTTGCTATCATTTCCTACCTTCAAAGAATTTTCCACCCCCACTTATTAAAAACTAGAAAATGATACACCATTATATATCAGATTATTCTAACTCAGAGGTGGAATGAGATGACAGAAATATTAAAGACTAACAGAATTTTTAATGACCAATAAGTATAAATCATAACTTTAAAACTATGTTCATATACAAAAGTTGCACCTTATTTTTTGTTTAACACTAATACCAACATTGTGTCTAAAATTTTCCACCCATTATTGTCATAAGTGATAATATGTTTTTGTAATATGGTGAATTCCTTGATAGGTTCATGGGACGAATGATAATAACACAGCAAATGGAAGAGATTGTAAGGTAAGAACAAATTGGCATGATTTGATACTTTTAAATGAAGACTTTTTGGAGGAAGGAATAAAAAAATTAAAGATAGATACTGTATAGTACATTTTGACTAAAGGTTAATTTTTTTAATTTTGGCATTTCATCATCTTATTTTTAGAGTAACAAGAGTGAAACAAATCCCATAAAATGATGTCAAAATAATGTAATAGGATTACTTGTGAAGTTGTATTTATTTTTCTAATAATAGCAGGTAGTAACATCAGAATGAAATAATATTTCTTCCAGTCTTCATATATTTAAATATTAGCACTGAAGCTCGAGCTTTATTTAATGCATGTTGTTATTATTGTTATTTTTATTGTTGTTAAGTGCCATTGAGTCATAGACGACTCATAGCAACCTAAGAACAAAAGACCTAAACTCCGTGGTATAACTATCATCATTTCTCTAAGTTCATAGAGTTGCTGGAGTAGCAAATAAAAATTATACAGCCTTCATTTCAAAAACATTCATCTTAAACTATTAAACCTTAACCTAGAGCATTTAGTGGTTAATGGAGAATTTTCTGATTGTTTTTTGTTTCTTTTGATTTTTTTTTCCTTAGTATTCAGGGTAATTTCTGGATCTTAAATTAACTATTTTGTCTATTTTCAATGTTGTGCTGATAGTATGGAGATTGCACCGCAGGCCTTCTTTAAAATTAGTCCTTCTATAGTTCTAGTCAATTTGACTGTTTACTTCTTTTCTGGGGATGCATTCAGTTTATACTAGCTATTTGCAATAAAACTCATTAAAAGTTGAGCATTTTGAAATTAAATCCTCAAGACAAACCACACAAAATATCTATCATCCCTTACTCACATTTTTGTAAACATTAACATTGGAATAGGAGCTCTGGTGGCCTAATAGCAAGAAGCTGCAACATAATCCCAAAGGCACACAATCGCAGTTTGAGACCACCAGCTGCTCTGTGGAAGAAGAATGGATAATTTCCTCCCATGCGATGAACTGCCTCTGAAAACCCACCCACAGGGTCAGTCCCCTCTGTGGTACACAACAACAACATAGAAATGCATTTTACTCTGTTAGTAACAAAGACTCAGAGTAGGATCCTACTGAATAACTGTGTCTATGTTTTATTCATGAGAGAGAAGAGAGATTTTATTTCCATAGTAAAATAGTAGAAAGTGTATGAATATGTGTAGTCTGAATCACTTTAAGGTATTGTCGCTTGTAAGGGAAAAAAACAAATTATGCCATCTCATCTCTTTTTAGAGTGGTTGCAAAATTTAGCCATGTTCTTTGACTAAGCATCCTGAGTAAACTGGTGAATTATCTTTCAATGTGAAACTTTATATCTTTATATCTCAATTTCATATGTTAGCGTAGATTTAAAGCATTCCATTCATTGTTGGGAAAACAGCAAGTGAAATAGATCTGCTTTATAGACCTTGATTGCTCCTTTGATTTTGGTGTATCTACAGAGTGTACTCTGGGTGCCCACACTTGTTACCATGTCCTAAACACTTATTGTTTGGTTCAGTCTATTTTTTTTTTCATAGTATTTGCATTTTTAGAAATCTTCAAAATTACCTCAAATTTTGATTTGGATCACTGTATATGCATGTTTCGGAAAACCATCAAAATTATTAAAAGACTTTTTTTTTACTTGCCTATAACAGATCCTTACTTTTTTATCACTAAGAAGATGCACTTTCCTTTCTAGTTATTCCTTCTCATTTTATATCTCCTTTATGGAGAGAAACTCAAACAGCCAGAAGACCAGTTCTCCGAGACGTGTGCACTGCAAGTAGTCCAGTTGTCCTGTGCGAGCTTCCTAGACAAAGCACTAACTCACTTCTCTACATGATGTTGCAATCCAGCTTAACTTTAATTGTGCCAAACTCATGTTTCCATACATAAATCATTCTACATTTTATGTTCACATTGCATTGTAATTCTGTATTTTTCCTTCAGCAGCTATTTATTAATTTTGCTCTAAGTTTAAAAAAATTCATCTTGTGCTAAAAAAAGTAAAATCATTGCTTAATCTTTTATGTTCTTTTATTTTACATTTAAAAATCTGAAAGTAATGCCTTTGTGAGTTTGTTTATAGACATAGTCTTATTTCTGAGCCGCTAATCTTAAAGTGACTGAAATACTAAAGCAGGTATATGTTACAAAAACTAACACCATGATTCTTTTGGGCAGCTTTATAGTTGCAGGGCTTTTGATTTGAGGTGAGAACAGTGTTGTAACTATAGCTTAAGTGCCCTCTGCTACTACTTTAGAATTACACTGAGTTTTTTAATATATTCAATACTTTTTGGGTTTTGTTTCCAGACCCCTCGGTCCAGAGAGTCTCTTGCTTCGAGGAGCCAGGCTGAAAAACACAAAAGAAATTTTTGGTTTGTACATATTTAAAATTTTCTATTTATAGTATTTATATGAAGTATTTAAAAATACACAGCATTTATAGCCTTTTGATTAAAAAATTAACTTTATGTAAATGTTCATTAAAATTAATAAAATAAAAAATTTTAAAAATTAACTTTATAAAATATTGCTTATAGTATTAATTTTCTTGGAAAGATTGGTGTTAATGCTGTTTTGGATTGTATTTTTTGTAGACTGTAACCTTACGAATATCTGCAAAACATAGTTCTAACAAGACAATTTCAGCACTGTGGCAGGGGCAAATAAGAAACCATTAAATCATGGTACAAAAAAAAAGTCACATCTCTAATTCCATTGTGATTGGTTTTAGATTGTATTGATAAAATTGTTAACTCAATTCTTTCATTCATCTGGTTTTCTTTTTAATACTGGTTTACATATAAAGTTCATATACACTGTTTTTCATACCAGATCTTTCTCATTCCTTTACCTGCCCCTCCCTCCACCCATCAAATTGTGGGAGCCAATGATTAGCCACTTCCACCATCCTCACCTCTCTGTACCTACCCTAGCCCCCTTGGATCCTCATATATGTTCTACAATCCTCATACACATTCTACACTAATGGTCTTACACAGTATTTGTCTTTATGGGACTTAGTTCCCTTAGCAAAATGCTCTTTAGATCTATCCCTTTAGGCAGCAAGTCCTTGTTGAACATTATATACCAGATAGTGAAACATGCTGATTGGTCAGAAGGCTGAATGAGTAATGCCGTGGCCGTGGAGATCTAAGTTAATTACTATACACTGAGTCAACTCTAGGCAAATTGTAAGATTAATGATGACTCATCTCTCAGTTATTCCCCATTTGAGAAATGTACCTTCATAATTTGCCTGGATTTTGCATTCTTATTCCTCATTTGTCTTTTATTTCAGTTTTTTTGTTTTGTGGGAGTTTTTTAACTCCCTGTGATCCCCCCCCCCCATTTTTATGATCTCAGAAGAGCTCATACACATTACCATTGAGTTGAAACCAACTCATCAACCCTCCATTGGGTTTCTGAGGCTATAAATCTCCCTGGAAGAGATTATCCATCTTTCTCTTGTGGAGCTCTTGGTAGATTCCAGCTGCCAATCTTTTTGTAATTAGCACAGCTCTTTAGGTATTGTCACCCTCCAATAAAGATATCTATATATTTTTTAAAAATAAAGGACTAAGGAATCTCTGGTGGCCTAGTGGCAAGATTCTGGCCAGACATGAGCTATCCCATAGTGTTTCTAAGACTGAAGATGGCAGCAGATACGGCAAGGTTCAGAGCCATTGCTTATAGAGTTGCTATGAGTCTAGTTGACTCGACCACACATAACAACAACAAATCTATATATGGAGGCAGATTGCCTCATCTTTGTCCTTTAGAGTGTTTGGTAGATTCAAACCACAACCTTTTGGTTAGCAGCTTGCGCTTAACCAGCTGTGCCCCAGGACCCCTACATTTATGTTAACAAGCTAACTTATTAGCTCTCCAGTCCTTAGTGATCTCCAGATTCTGGCATTCAGGGCCCATCACACTTTGATCCCAATCTGTTGTTCCAGCCTAAGAGGACAATACATTTGTGTAGACATTTCTCTACTTGTTAAAACCATTTGCTCCATATATTATGGACATCTTTGCTATCTTTATCTTTCCAAATTCTTTTCTTCCATCAATCTCAACCTAAAGGGTATCACTCTAATTCAGATGTTGTAACTAAACTACAGAATCCTAGGCGATCCCCCACAGAGGGTGAATAACTAGAGTGCTCTAACTCTGGACTTGGAAACCTTTTTAAAGCTCTGAAAAAGCTATCTTGTAACACCTCTCAGATAGTAGATTTTCCTAAAAACTTTCATGTTACTGTATTTCTTTCTTGTGAAACATGCTACAGGGCTATTTTAATAGACTGTTGTTTTGCAGGTGTTGCTATATACACTGGAATGGAAACTAAGATGGCATTAAATTATAAGAGCAAGTCACAGAAAAGATCTGCAGTAGAAAAGTAAGGAAGCTATTTGCATTTGTTTGTATATAAATATAGTCATGGATATATGTATTCATGAATGTGTAAAATGGAACGTGTGCTAAGTCATTCAAACAAAGGATGACATCCTTGAAGATAAATGTAGAGTCTTTTTTTTTTTAATAAAATACCAGGTGCTGTTGAGTCATTCCTGACTCATGACGACCATGTCTGTCAGAGTAGAACTACTCCTTAGGTTTTTCGCAGCCTATGATCTTTCTAAAGCTCATCATCAACTCTTTCTTTTGAAGTTTCTCTGTGTGGAGTTGATCCACCAACCTTTTAGTTAGTAGCTAGATGTTGCGCCATTTGTACCACCCTGGGATTCTGGTATATTTTCGTATCCATGTACCATTTGCATGATATTTGCTGTATGTTTAACTGCTAAATTAGGATTTAATAAGTCCATAAAAACCTGCACGCAAGTGTTTCTAGCAAATTTATTCATACTTGCAACATTTTGAAGTAACCAAGATGTCTTTCAGTAGAGGAATGGATAAACAAACTGGTATAGACGTGAACTATCTCAGAATAATATTTGTCAGTGAAAAGAATTGAGCTATAAAGACATGAAAAACCTGTTGATGTGTCCTTTATGATTCCTTTACTTTATGGTGTTCTGGGGAAAACACTGAAGAGACTGTGAAAAGATCGGTGATTGACATGAGCCTTGGGTAAGCAAAGGAGAGGGATAATTAGGTAGTATACTGGCCATTTGTCTTTTTGTCTTAGGCCAGAAGAGCCTCCTTGTATTTTCTTTACATCTTAGTAGCTTCAAGAGCAATTGTTTTAGCTGTATTTCCTAAGCCTCTAACTTGCTTTTCTTTTCTGTGTACCATCGAATTGGATCAGACTGTCACAAGAGATTGTCCCTCCTTCTCCAAAGGAGCAGCTGGTGGAGTCTAATGACACACCTTCGGGATTGCTGAACAGCTTCTTAACACTAGGCCACCAGAGCTCCTTAGACCCTAACTTCTTTTTTTTTTTTTAGACCCTAACTTCTTGTGCTTACAAAATCTCACACTTTTATAAGTCTGGACACTAGTTGTAAAAAGAGTAAGGGAGGCCTAAGGACAGCTGAGTCTGACCTCCTCTAACTCTGCAAGGAGGCGTTACTCCCCCCCCCCATCCATTGAATCCATATCACAAAGCTAATTCCCATATAATCAGACATGCCCTCCATATTCCTCCGTCTCTTTCTACCAAGTCTGTAGCATCCAGATTCAGTTACAATAGCTGACAGACCTCACAGAACCATACTCGTGATTAGGGAAGTTTACTAGAGAAGTTACAATTGAGTTTGGGAACAGGATACATGGAAAGAAGAGTTGAGAAGTTGCTTTTGGCCTGATGCAGAAGGCAGAGGCCTGAGGCCATATGCATATCAATGGAATATATTAAATGATATTTAAGAGGGAAATTGAAACTAAGAATTCTTGCTTTTCAAAGTCTTACATGTTCAGGTTTATATTTATTTTACATGATGGATATTAATGTTTTTTTGTTTCCTTCTATGTGATATTAAGATGTACAGTTGAAGTGATTACTGGGTATTGTAATTTATAGAAAGAAAGCATTTAAGTCTGCTTTTTGCTAATACTTGAATGGATGTGCTAAATGGAAGATTTGCCCTGGAGATATGTTTGTTTAAAGTTGTTCTTAGGAAAGTTTACAGAACACTTCAGGACCTCTTCAAAATAAAGACTGATAACTCAATTGTGAAATGGCCAAAAGACATGGAAAGACTTCACAGAGGAAGATATTCAGATGGCCCACAGACAAATGCAGAAATGCTCCAATAAGAGAGATGCAAATCAAAACCACAATGAGATACCATCTCATCTCAGTCACACTGGCAAAGTTTAACAGGACAGCAAGCAGTAAATATTGGAGAGGATGTGGAAAGAAAGGAAGTGTCATACCCTGTTGGTGGGATTATAAAATATTACCACTCTACAAGGCAATTTGTTGTTTCCTCAAAAAAAACTGAGTATAGAAACTCAGTGTTGTTGTTCCATACTGTGGAGTCAGAACCGACCTATAGGTGACCCTCTGGCAGGTTTTCAGAGGCAATTAATCGCATGAGAGGAGAATACCCATCCTCCCCATGAAGTGGCTGGTGGCCTCGAACTACATACTTTGTGGATTGCGGCACAGCTTCTTGTCACTAGGCCACTCCACTGTTAGGAATATACCTCAAGGAAATTAGAACTGAGACACAAATGGAGATTTGTGCACCAATTTTCATAGCAGCATTATTCACCATTGCAAGAACGTGGTAACAGCCCACATGTACAACCACAACTGAGTGGATTGAGAAATTGTGGTATGATCATATGGTGGAATATTACACAGGACTCACTCAGGAGCAGTGATTCTGAACGATACCACCTAACTTGTGAGAAAGTGGAAGGCATTATGCTGTGTTAACTAACTCAGTCTTAAAAAGACAAATACTATTATTGTAAAAGTAGAAGGATCAGAAAAAGAATCCAAAAATTGGAACAATACATTGACAGAGAACTATTAGAAATACAAGCTGGATTTAGAAGAGGTCGTGGCACTAGAGACATCACCAATGTCAGATGAATCCTGGCCAAAAGCAAAAAGTTCCAAAGAATTATCTATCTGTGTTTTCATTGACTACGCAAAGGTATTTGCATGGATCACAACAAATTGTGGTTAACCTTAAGGATAATGGGAATCTCAGAACACTGGATTGTGTTTATGTGAAACCTGTACTTGGATCAGGAAACAGTTCTCAGAACAGAGAAAGAAAACACTGCATGGTTCAAATTCAGGAAAGGAATACATCAAGGATGCATCCTGTCTCCATACCTTTGCAAAGTATATGCAGAACAGATCATTTGGGAAGCTGGGCTTTAGGAGGAGGAGTGGAGCATTGGAAGAAGACATATCAATACCCTATGTTATGCAGATGACACAACCTTGCCTGCTGAACTGAGGAGGACCTGAAGCTCTTGCTGCAGAAGGTTAAGGAGTGTAGTCTTCATTAAGGATTGAAGCTCAACATCAAGAAGACAAAGATTCTCACCATTGGGCCATTTGGCAGCACCATGATAGATGAAGAAGAGATTGAGGTTGTTAACAACTTCAGCTCCATAGTTAACACTCTTGGCACCAAAGGTCAGGAAATCCAAAGACGAATTACACTAGGAAAATCTGCTGTCAGGAACTCTTCAGAGTACTGAGAAGCAACTATATCAGTCTAGAGACTAACACCTGATCCAGGCCATAGTCTTTGCAGTTACTTCTTATGCATCAGAAAGTGGGAAGTGACTAAGGATGATAGAAGAAGAATTTATGCCTTTGAGTTGTACTGGAGAAGAGTCTTGAACATACTATGGACTGCCAAGAAAAAAAATAGGTCTTTCTTGGAGAAGGTAAAATAAAATTTATCCTTGGGGGCTAGGATTTTGAAGTTCAGTCTCACATACTTTGGGCATATGGACAGGAGGGATTGGTCCTTGGAGAAGGATATCATGCTTGGAAGAGTGGAAGGACAGCGTAGGAGAGGAAGACTCCGCGTGAGATGGATTGATGTAGTAACTGGGCAACGGGAATAGGTGTGTCAGAGTTGGTGAGACTGGCTCAGGACAAGGCAAGCTTCAGAGCTATTGTGTATAGGGTTGCTTTGAGTCCCAAGCTTCTTGATGGCATATAACTACTAATAAAATGTGTATGAAGATACAAGTGACAAGGAGTGGGAGTAGAAGGGTGAGGAAGAACAGGGGAAAATCACAGAGTCACCTAATTTGGTGGGTGCAGGGAGGGGTAAAAGGAAATGGGTAAGATCTGGTGGGGAAATGAAAAGATGGGATAATGGTGGGCATAGTCCAAAGGTGATTCATTTTATAAAGCACAATGTATGAAATGATTAAATGAAGCATAGTGTCAGAGAAGGAAACATATAAAACCCCCTCAATATTCATGAATAAAATAGAATTTATGTGAATAATTATATGCATGTCAACAAAAACGACTAGAACAGTATATCAGCAGAGAACTGCCAGAAGTCCAGGCTGGGTTTAGAAGGGGTCGTGGTACTAGGGGTATTGTAGCTGATGTTAGATGGATCTTAGCTGAAAGCAGAGAATACCAGAAGAATGTCTATCTGTGTTTCATTGATTATGCAAAGGCATATGACTGCGT